AATTGATGTTTCTCTCACATCCATGTTTCTCTCTCTCCCTTCTCCTTCCTCTCTCTAATCAATAAGTATGTCCTTGGGTGAGAATTTTGAACAAAGCAGCAACAAAGGTAGCACAGTATCTGAGTTGTGATTGTCACTTGGCACATGATTATTAAGCACTGTTCCTGTGCCTGGAAGAGTGTGGTGAGCTGGGAGTTGGCAGTAAAGAAGGCGCACACTGTCTGGGGGGTGCCCATCATGGTGGGATATTCAAAGTACACTGAGTGGGGAGGAAGGAATGGGAAGGCTTCTCAGAAGTACCATCTTAACTCAAATGAAGGTGGGAGAGAGGGCCAGCCCAGGATCTCTGGTCTCCCTCCCAGGAGAGACATCATAGTGGGAATAGGATGGGGCTGTTGATACTGCTGCCTCTGCCCATCTGGCCTGGCCTGCCCTGCCCTGCCCTGCCCCGCCCTGCCCCGCCCCGCCCTGCCCTGCCTGTATCCTCCCAACGGTCCTGTGAAACTCCTCAGTGAAATTTAAAAACCCATCTCAGGATTTCCTCCTCCACGGAATCTCCATCTCTGGGCTTCCCTCTGCCTGGAACAGGGGAGGTGTCACTATTGTTTTGTTAACTCCTTTGTCCTCCCTCCAACACACACTAAACTGGGAGCTCTAGAAGACCAAAGAATGATGCCAATTCTGCCCTGGCATCCCAGCCCTTAACAGAGTCTGGCCCAAGGCAAGGGCATCAATGAAAACAGGTTGACTCAACTGTGACCTCAGACAAGTTCCCTTGTCTGGTTGTACTTCCTTTTCTTTCTCTCTGTGACACTGAAGAATTGACTAGGTGGTTTTTCTGAGGCTAATCCTAACTCTAAAGTATATGAACTTATGAATGTGAACTAGGTGTTCAGTTCTTACACTCAGGATTGTGTGTGTGTGTGTATATGTATGTGTGTGCACATGTCTATATGTTGTGATTAGAGGGAAGACGAAGAGGGTTTGGTTTGTTTTTTAAAGCGTGTGCTTGGGAGGTAAAGGGTGAGTGGAGATGGAAGAGGGTATGTGGGGATAAGTGGTGATGGATAAGGAAGGAAGGAAGGAAAAAAGAAAGAAAAATGTGTGCTTCAGCAAACCCCATAACCTCCTGGTGTGTGTGTGGGAGGGGTGCTTGCTTAGGGAGTTGCCAGACATCCCATCCTGTCCTCCCTTCTTCGGGCCACCCTGGGACTGAGCAGGCACTGGGGCCAGGGGTAAACTCATTTGGATTACTTGTTTTGCGTCATTTAAAAAAATATTTTATTTCTTTCCTTTTCAGAGAGAGGGAAAGGGAAGGAGAAAGAGAGGGGGAAAAACATCAATGTGTGATTGCCTCTCACATGGCCCCCACTGGGGACCTGGCCCGCAACCCAGGCATGTGCCCTGACTGGGAATCAAACCATGACCTGCACTCAATCCACCGAGCCACACCAGTTAGGGCTGGTTTGCATCATTTGGGGGCTTTTGTTATTTGTTTTTAAGTAACAAACACCTGTGTATCCCTCTATACAGAATTGAAAACCACCATATTGTCATAGTGGTTTCAGGTAATTACACTCTAAAGAACCTAGATTATTACAGATAAAGTTAAAGGTCCTTTTATTCCCCTATCTTTGGTACTATTAAAAGTTCATGTACTGAATACTTAGGCATGATTAGAAAGGTAAATTTTATGTTATGTACATTTTATCACAATTAAAAAAAAACTTAAAAAAAAAACCAAACAGTTTTTATTTAGGCCCAAGTCAGAGTTTGGACACAGCTAGATAATCCCACTTTGGTAGCTAGCAGCTGAAGATCTGTGTGCTCCTCTCCTTGAGCTCCACGCTCCCAGGCTTTGGCAGAGGTCATTAATTTGTCCCTTCCCCTCACCCCCACACCAGTCCATCAGCTACCTCTGTTGCTTCACCTCTTGGTCGTGTCCCCGGTCCTCTGCTATCTCCATCCTGGGCCACACCAAGACCACTGCAAGAGTCTTCTCCGAGGTCTTCCCTGCTATCCTCTTAGGTCTCCTGCAGTCTGTTTGGAGTAATCCTTTGAAGAAAAGAGCCCTTGTCCCTGTCCCCTACTCAAAGCTTCCCATCACACTTGGAATAAAACCCAACAAAGCCCTCCATCATGTCCCCCCTTGAGGCCTCTTTACTGTCTGGAACCTCCCCCCCCCCCCACAGCTACATGGCTTCCCCTTCACTTCCTTTAGATTTTTCTCTCTTTTCTTCCCTAATAGCACCATGTGGATTTTTTCTTCTTCATTATGTTCTAATCAGTTCATTCTTTCGAACACTCACCTGGCTGCAGCTTTGCCCAATACAAGGGAACTCTTTCAGCCAGCACCTGTGTCCTCTTGACTCTTCCTATTAACTTCTAAGGGCTCCTGCTTTCTGCCTTCACAGGCTGCCCCAGAACCAGAATCACCCACTTCTCCCAGGGGCCAACCTGGTCCCCTTCCAGGGACACCAACATGTTCCCTGCCCCTAGGGTGCCTTCATTGGCCTTAGAATATGTCCCACCATGGGTGTACAGAGCACTGTGATCAAAAGTATTGGAAATAATTTTTTCTCTGTGGTATGTTATCAATTTGATATAATTATTCATTTGTTTCTGTTTGCATTCAGTGTAATAAGGTTTATTACCTCTTGTTTTCAGTTTATTTTTGGTTATATAAACTTTTACCTGATTCAGAAGTTGAAATTATGCCCTGGTGTACCCAAAGAGGCCTCAGCAGTTCAGTGGTTTCTGACGTGTGCTTCCTAAAGCCCCTATGCTCACACAAAAGGCAGCCTATGACGTCTGTTTTTACTTCACAGGAGATCCCAAGGCTCGCTCCTCGGTGGTTCAGGGTGCTCTCAATGGTGCAGGCATGTTTTTGTCTAGTCAGGCAGGTCCCTAATGGCAGTCACCCGAGTTGTCCTGGGCTGGTAAAAAGTGCTGTGTAAAACAACGTCATCCTCTCATTTTGCCTTTCTGGAGGTGTCTCTTCAGGGTAGGTTTCTAAAAGGGATTTCCCTAGATTACATCAACACCCTTGATTGTATCTAAGAGGCCTTCCTGGGTCATATGGCTTGTACTTGACCTCACGGTGGTAAAATTATTTGGGGAATACAAATGGGAGTTCTGAAGAAGTCAGACCTGTTCCATCGGCGCAGTGCTTTTCTCTGACTCCCGTTCTGTCAAGGTTCCGGGAAGCAGCCCTGGACTTCAGCAGTGTGTGCCCCTGTAGACTGTATGGAAGTGGTGATTCCAGTCTGTCCACCACTTTGCTGCTGGCAGAACTCTCCTTCTCCCTCTGTGAAGGTGGGCCTGGGGCCACACCCAGCTTCCCAGAGTTTTTCTTTGTTTCCTGCTGAGAAGCTAAGGGGGGGATTGAAAAGTAAGCTCTGCTAGAACAGGTTAGGGACCCGTGCTTTTAGAGCAGGAAAAGGTTTCCTGTGAGCCAAGGGCAAAATCTGGATGACCCTGGCAGCCATGCTGGGGGCCCTAAACTTCTGGATGAAGATCCAGGCAACTCAGGGGTAAGCCTGAGAAGGACTAGGACACGCCCTCACCACTGTCTTATCTCCCCACACCCAGCCTGAGCTGTTGAGGAAAAGAGTATCCTCATGGCACCAAGTGAGTCCTGGTGCTGACCTGCCTTCGGTGACTTAACCCATGTTATTCAAGTCTGCTTTCAAGTGCACACCACAGTGTCTTTATTGAAGTGTGCACTGGAAGGGAAGTCATTTGGGATAGACCAGCTCCAGGACGGTGATCAGTGGAGATGTGAGCTATATGGGACAGGACAGCTCTAGAGCTGAGATACAGCGCACAGGAATAGTATTGCCCTTTTCCAGAATGAGCTGCTAGCTGATGGCTAGCAGGTGGCTAATTCTGAATTCACAATTCATTCTAAGCCTCCCCTGGCCCCAGTTGTGTTCTTGCCCTCTTAGCCTGGCCATGAGAGCATCATAGACAGAACAGCATGTCCTGGGAGATCCTAGGGTCCAGGGCCTCTCTGAGTATTTCTGAAGTATGCAAGGGAATCTACCAGATGGAACCAAAGTATAGGGAAGGAGCTGCTCTGTCATTGTGAAAGAATGGGGAAGTGCCCGCCCTGGAACAGGGAAGGTGCCTCTCTGTCTTTCTTCTTCCTCCTACCAGCAACGCCGTGCTATTGTAAGGGAGCATCTCCTGATATAGGCTCACCTGACCTGGGATCACTTTTTTTCTTATGCCACAATTCTGGGCAATGGTTTCTGGTTGCCCAAGTTAGCCAGTATTTATATAGTGACTTTTCTTCCTCTGGGGTATTAGTTCCCATTGTTCAGATGAGGAAACAGGCATAGGATGTCGAGGTCACTTGCTCAGGTTCGTGTTTGGAAAGGGCAGAATCAGGATTGGAGCTCAAGTTCGCTGGCTCCAAACCTATCCACTCTTTTTGCACTGCTGCACTGTGCGCCACTTCCCAAGGGGGTCATGTAGAGCTGTGTTCCTATTAGCAGGTTGTACTGTACCCCACCGCATTTGAGTACGCATTTTAAAAACCCAAAATACAGAAGCTATAGTAATACTCAGGCCAGGCTTTGTGAAGAGGAGCTCCACTCCCACTTTGGGTGGACAGCTTCCTCTCCAGCACTTGAGGGCCTCCTGTCAGCCCTTGGATGCAGCTCATAAAGTGGCCTCTGCCAAGACAACATGCTGAGAAGCCACACAGTGTTCTACTCAGGAAAAAAATGCCACCTGTGCAGGCCACTCACTCCTGCACACTAGGAATGGGGCTGGGGTGGCCACAGTGCTGGTAGAATGTAGTTGGCCACCACCAGCAGCAGCCCAAAGCCCCTAAAGAAATCTGTGAAAGGAAGAATATCAAGATGTGGGTGAGCACTGGCAGAGCAGCCCGGCTCCCAGAGCCCAGCCTGTGCTGGGCAGCCCCAAACCTGCTGGTGCTTGCTTTTTCTGCAGACCGATGTGTCCTCTACTTACATACTTGTTTAATACTTCAGGGAAGAAAAGTCAGAAGACCAGGATCTCCAGGGCCTCAAGGACAAACCCTTGAAGTTTAAAAAAGTGAAGAAGGATAAGAAAGAAGACAAAGAGGGCAAGCATGAGCCCCTGCAGCCATCAGCCCATCACTCTGCTGAGCCAGCAGAAGCAGGCAAAGCGGAGACCTCAGAAGGGTCAGGCTCAGCCCCGGCCGTCCCGGAAGCTTCTGCCTCCCCCAAACAGCGGCGGTCCATCATTCGCGATCGGGGACCCATGTATGATGACCCCACTCTGCCTGAAGGTTGGACCCGGAAGCTTAAGCAAAGGAAATCCGGCCGCTCCGCTGGGAAGTATGATGTGTATTTGATCAAGTAAGTAAGGGCAATTCCTCTGTCTACAGAGCCAGGAGGCCTGAATAGGTGGGAAGTCAGGGACAAGCACTGAAAACTAATGGGGGGTCACTTGGAATAGGAGCTCTTTGCTGCTAGTTAATCAGGAAAATGTATGTGTGTGACCTTAACTGGGGTCAAAGTGGCTTCAATAATGAGCCTCTCGTGCAGGCATAACTAGGTACACTTAGGACAACTGTGCGTGGAAGTCACTGCCCTGAGTGAGGTGTGCATAGGGTAGCAGAGTGTGACTTTACCCTGCCAGCCCTTGAAGCCTCATTTGGAGATGGAATAGCAGTAGGGCCTACCCAGGGTCACCATGAGAATGTCAGGAGAGGTCACCTGGGAAGCACTGAGGCCACAAGATCTGCCACGCGCCGTGGCCTGGGCTCAGGCAAGCGGAGCTCCCTGGGGTTGCTGCCATTTCCCAGCTGGAGACCATCCAGCTGAGGGGCTCTTCTCAGAACCTGTTAATAACCTCATCATCTTTCTGGGAGACTTGTTCTATGACACTGCTAGATGAACCAGAAGAATTAGGAGTTCATCGGGCTCAGTCCACTCTGTGAATTGTACTGAGAAAAGCGGGCTCTTGGACAGGGCCTCTGGGGAAAGACATAAATGGATCCCATGTGCCTTTCCAACTGTCTGTTTTGCATTTGTCTAGCTTCATTCGGTGGGGGGGAGGGGGGGAACTGGGTGTTTTTTCTATTGAAACAGTAACTGCCAAGCCTGAGCTTCAGAGAAGGAACAAATAAGTATATTTCAATTCTGACCCTTAGACAATCCCAAAAAGGTTAGCAGTTTTCAAAGGATATTCACAGCCTTGTTTGGCCTCAACAACTCTGAGAAGGGTGAGCAAACCATTATCCTATTGACATATGAGAAAACTAATTCCCAGAGATGCTAAACAGCATGCCCAGATTTAGACAGAGGGTGCTCTACTGGCAGATCAGGCCCAGGCAACAGCCAGCACAACGGGCCTTGGCCTAATCTGATGGCTAGACAGGGTTCCCAGATCAGACCCCTGTGGGGGGCTAGAGGGAGTCTCAGTGGCAGGCATGTCCTCAGGGGCATCCAAGTAACAGCTGTGGAGCAGCTAGCACTGAGCTGTTCCAGTACAGAAGCAGGCCATGTAGGGTACCTGCCCCTGCTCAGCAGCCTGATTACTTCATGTGTAGCTGTGGCCATGCCCCTCAAGTTTTAGCTTCTCTTGGCTTTTCTTAAATGTGACTGGTTCGGTAGTATCATCAGGCATATCACCTGCAGAACATCTTCTGTTGAAGTTTATCACCACCTTCTGCTCTACCTCATCTCTGACACTGCTGTGAAAGCTTCTAATCATTTTTGTGTCTCTCCATTTGTTCCTACAGTCCCCAGGGAAAAGCCTTTCGATCTAAAGTGGAGTTGATTGCATACTTCGAAAAGGTAGGCGACACCTCCCTGGACCCTAATGATTTTGACTTCACGGTAACTGGGAGAGGGAGCCCCTCCCGGCGAGAGCAGAAACCACCTAAGAAGCCCAAATCTCCCAAAGCTCCAGGAACTGGCAGAGGTCGGGGACGCCCCAAAGGGAGCGGCACCACGAGACCCAAGGCAGCAGCATCAGAGGGCGTGCAGGTGAAAAGGGTCCTGGAGAAAAGTCCTGGGAAGCTGCTCGTCAAGATGCCTTTTCAAACTTCACCAGGGAGCAAGGCTGAAGGGGCTGGGGCCACTACATCAGCCCAAGTCATGGTTATCAAACGCCCCGGCAGGAAGCGAAAAGCCGAGGCCGACCCCCAGGCCATTCCCAAGAAACGGGGCCGAAAGCCAGGCAGTGTGGTGGCAGCTGCTGCTGCTGAGGCCAAGAAGAAAGCCGTGAAGGAATCATCCATCCGGTCTGTGCAAGAGACCGTGCTACCCATCAAAAAGCGTAAGACCCGGGAGACAGTCAGCATCGAGGTGAAGGAGGTGGTGAAGCCTCTGCTGGTGTCCACCCTTGGCGAAAAGAGTGGGAAGGGACTGAAGACCTGCAAGAGCCCTGGGCGGAAAAGTAAGGAGAGCAGCCCTAAGGGGCGCAGCAGCAGTGCCTCCTCGCCTCCCAAGAAGGAGCACCACCACCACCACCACCACTCAGAGCCCCCGAAGGCACCCACACCGCTGCTCCCGCCCCTGCCCCCACCCCCGCCCGAGCCCCAAAGCTCCGAGGACCCTGCCAGCCCCCCTGAGCCCCAGGACTTGAGCAGCAGCATCTGCAAAGAAGAGAAGATGCAGAGAGGAGGCTCACTGGAGAGCGACGGCTGCCCCAAGGAGCCAGCTAAGACTCAGCCTACGGTTGCGACCACCACCACGGCCGCAGAAAAGTACAAACACCGAGGGGAGGGAGAGCGCAAAGACATTGTTTCATCCTCCATGCCAAGGCCAAACAGAGAGGAGCCTGTGGACAGCCGGACGCCCGTGACCGAGAGAGTTAGCTGACTTTACACAGAGCGGATTGCAAAGCAAACCAACAAGAATAAAGGCAGCTGTTGTCTCTTCTCCTTATGGGTAGGGCTCTGACAAAGCTTCCCGATTAACTGAAATAAAAAATATTTTTTTTTCTTTCAGTAAACTTAGAGTTTCGTGGCTTCAGGGTGGGAGTAGTTGGAGCATTGGGGATGTTTTTCTTACCGACAAGCACAGTCAGGTTGAAGACCTAACCAGGGCCAGAAGTAGCTTTGCACTTTTCTAAACTAGGCTCCTTCAACAAGGCTTGCTGCAGATACTACTGACCAGACAAGCTGTTGACCAGGCTTCTTAGGGTACGCCTGCACCTCCCCTCCCACCCAGACCTCCCCCCGTGTGGTCATTAAGGACAGAGGGCACTTGAGAGGACACTTCCATTTGCGGTGCCATTGGTGCCCCAGTCTCAGCTCTCCTCTCCCCCCACCCTGCCCCTAGCTTCCCTACCTCCCTCATTCCCAACCACATTGGGACAAGGAGGTGTGAGGCAGGAGAGACAGTTGGATTCTTTAACGAAGAAGACAGAGATGGCCAGTGGCTACAGCCTGTGTGATCCCACTGTGGTAGGACAAACCTGGCCCCACTCCAGCCCCAATCCAAAACAAACAAGGACATTTCACAGGACAGGGAAGTAGCACCTGTTCACTCCAGTTCTGGCATGGCTCAGAAGGAGTCGTCCTTTGAACTGCTGGGTGTAGACGCCTCAGCCAGAGGAGAGGGTGGCCCAGGGCCGGCCTCCAATGGATGGCGCTAGAAAGAGGCCATGAGGCAGCAGGACGAGGTGCGGGCAGGCTGGCCGGGCCTCGGACCGGCAGAGCATAGCGGGACAGGAGGGACTCCTAGTCACTCAGAGCAGTCTGTGACTGGCAGTTAGAGGCTCACTGGGGTGGAGGCCAAGGGGAAGGAGGGGAGAATGTTCTTCCAAAACTTTCCAATTCTACTCCTTAGGGACAGCTTAGAACTATTTGCACTATTGAGTCTTCATGTTCCCACTTCAAAACAAACGTGCTCTGAGAGCAAACTGGCTTGAATTGGTGACACTTTGTCCCTCAAGCCGCCAGACGTGATGGCGTTTAGAACTGCCTGGATCTGTAGATACCTGCGCTTGTTTTAAAGTGGGCTCAGCACATAGGGTTCCCACGAAGCTCCGAAACTCTAAGTGTTTGCTGCAATTTTATAAGGACTTCCTGATTGCTTTGTCTTCTCTCCTTCCATTTCCGCCTTCTGTCATTTCATTCTTTCATTTCTTCCTCATTCATCTGTTCTCTTCCAAGCAGCCGCAGTGCCCAACTGTACCCTGAACAGATTCTGGTTAGCTCATGTCCCCAGAATTCACCATGCACTTGGCCTTCCTGCCACCAACCCCAGCCCACCACCCTCACCCCATTTTCGGCCCTGAGGAAGCCCTGAGCTCTGCCAAGTTCACCTGACCCTAGCACCTCAGCCTCTCTGAAGGGCAAGAGAATAGCAAGATCTCACTCTCCTAGGTCAGAGCCCAGGCACTGAGCCTCCTCAGCCTTCCACTTGAGAAAAGTGAGTGGTGAAAATCAAGCCAGATTTGGATTTGGGAGTTGGGAGAACAGAGGCCCCCATGGTCTGCCACAGTCACTGAGCAGCCCAGCCCTGACCTTGGCCTCTACCAGGCCTGATTACCACAATGCAGTGTGGCAGGGCACAGACAGAACAAACGCAGATGCCCCCAGACCTGAGCTGGGACCAGTGCCTAGGGTTCCCCTTTCTCTGCCCACCCAGGCTCCTCCACTAACCATAAGTTCTTTTCTAATGGAAAACCTTTGTCTTTTGCTTGCTGGAGACTGGGTAGGGCCAGCGTAGCACACATTTTCACATCTGCACCAGAGCTGTGGTGTAGGGGCTTAGAGGCTTGAGTTTGCTGTGGGATCCCATCTTTTCAACCTCTCTGTTCAGGAAGTCCTTATCTAGCTGCATATCTTCATCATATTGGTATATCCTTTTCTGTGTTTACAGAGATGTCTCTTATATCTAAATCTGTCCAACTGAGAAGTACCTTATCAAAGTAGCAAATGAGACAGCAGTCTTATGCTTCCAGAAACACCCACAAGCACGTCCCATGTAAGCTGCTGCCATGAACTGTCAAGTGTGTGTTGTCTTGTGTATTTCAGTTATTGTCCCCTGGCTTCCTTACTGCGGTGTAACCATGAAGGAGTGAAACATCTTAGAAACTGTCTAGCACTTCCTTGCCAGTCCTTAGTGATCAGGAACCATAGTTGACAGTTCCGATCAGTAGCTTAAGAAAAAAACCGTGTCTGTCTCTTCCAGAATGGTTAGAAGAAAGGGAGTTTGCCCCATTCTGTTTGTAGAGTCATAGTTGGCCTTTCTAGCATTTTTGTATCCATTTCCTTATGCTGCAAAAGCAAGTCCCACGACCAGCCCCACGCTGCTGTCAACCCTCCAGGCTTCACTTCTGACTCCTCCCCAGGAAGGGAAGGGGGGTGGGGGAGGGGGTGAGTCCTTCGGGACCTCTCTTCCTCCAAGGACAAAAGGCTCCTGCCCCCACAGTGGCCTTGCACTCCTAGCACCCCCAAAGACGCCTAGCCATGTGAGCGTGGCATCCAGCCAGTTTGTCGTGGAGACATCGTTCATTTTAATTGGTCGTGTTTTTGTGTTATACCTAGTCCAGTGAAATGTGGCTCCTAGGACCAATGTCAGGAGCTGGCTGGCCTCCCCATCAGCTCAGTACCATCTGGTCCTGGGAAGAGGAGTGCGGGGCCCATCAGGCCCGCCTTTCAACCATGACAGTTTATTTAGGGGCTGAGTGGGCATTGGCGGTCAAGGACACAGATTTGAAGGGTCATTTTCTTTCTGTCCCACCCAACCTGCAGTCCCCCAGCTCCCTAGCTTCCTCCCATAGAGTTCCAAAGCTGCAGGCAGTGCCTGAGGCTCCTTAGGGTTCTCTTTCTCTCCACCTTTCTTCCACATTCCCTTCTTTTTCCCAAATAAAGTCATCACGAGAGTCACCTTTAAGCAGGCTGCCTTGGTGGTTTGTCACCCTTGGCGGGCAGGGGCCCTGCAGCTTCCATGCCACCCCTGTTCCTGGAGTCAGGTTGATAGGAGGTTGGAGGCAAAGCAAAAGCCCTGGAATTCTCGCCAGCTGTGTCCAGCCCAGTTTGGGGTGCGACCTTGATTGTGTGTGTACTTGAATACAGCAAAGGTTGGGGGGCATCTTTTAGGGACTGTGAAGAATACAGGAATTGACCGACAGCTTTCAGATCCCCATGGGTCTAGGTCACAGTCACGTTCGTCATTCCTCCCTTCATTGTAGTTGTTAGTTACTACCCCCTTTCTCAACAGAATTCTGTACGTCCTCGTACCATGCCCAGTCCAGCCCTGCCCTACCTGTCCGCCCATTGGTTGGCTTGTCCTTACCAGTGGAATTGCCAGCTTTGACACTTAAGTGAACTGGGGAACTAGGTCACAACCAGGCTCTAATCTAGCTCCCTTCTGCTGGCATAGGAAACACCTAGAAACACCACGTCCCCGGTCCATCATTGCCAGACTAGCCAAGGACTCAAACCTCTCAGCTCCCTGGAAAGTGAAAGTCGTGGAGGCCTAGGGATGTTGGCCATAGCCAGCACCTGGCTTCTACTGAGACCTCGTGCAGGTGTGGGCAACAGTCTGTCTGTTCAGTGGCGTCATTCTAAGCTAGAGGCCAAGAACAGTGGCAGACCTGCAACAGTCCTGAGCTGTTGCCTGTTTTCTGCCCAGCTTGTCATTGCTGTGACAGTCATCATGAAAGGGTACTAGCCAGAAACAAACTTCCATATTTGGTGGGAGTTTCCTTAGCTGACAGGCCCTCTGGATTTTAAGTAACTCTTAATAAGCAGCTCAAGCCTGGGAGGGAGCAAAGGTTATGAATTCACCGGGGGCCAGCTGGATCTTGTGGAGCATTCCCACTCAGTTGTCTGGACTGATGGGGTCAGGAGAGGTCACAGGTACTGGTTCTTGGAGACCTTTGTTGTGCATCCATCCGTTTCTAGCTGGTGTGGTTGCCCTGAATTGCTTCCTGATGTGAGTTTCACACAAGGAGTCTAGGATCAATGGCCCAGACTTTGGGAAGCAAGTTGTCTAGAGCCTTATGAGTGTTTGCCTAGCCAGTCCCCCAAGTGCCAGCCACTGGCTCGTGGGCAGGTACAGCAGCATCACCAGGCCTGTGGTTGAGCCCCTTTCCCCATGCCCCTGCTCTATTGAATTCCCCAGTCTTCCTCTGCTTCCTGCAAGGGTCCATCTTTGTTCTTTGTCAGTTAGCTCATCCACACTGGAGGGGTTTGTTGAGTCTCCATTTTAGTGTCTTTCTCTTTTAGATCAATCTTTAGAAAAGGCCTAATTGTTATAAATCACTAGGATACTGCCTCTCCCAGGGTCTGAAGTTACATATTAAAGAGGAAAAAAGTGAACACTTGAAACCCGCTCTCAACAATTCAGAGGGAAAACCTAGAAAATATTTGGCCAAAAAAATGCATTTTAATGTCTCTGAACGAATAAGAGCAAGCTTTTGCAAAAATTCTGATCTAAAAATACTTGGAGCCTGCCCTGACGTGTGGCGAGTGCTGCAGGCGAAGGGGCTTCCAGTCTGAAGCTGCTGGATCTGAAACTCAGGGCCATCCCATCATTGGAGAGCCCATATCTCCTTGGGTAGCAGTCCCTGAGGACTTAGCTGCCACCTCTGTCCTCTGGAGCGACCTGGAGGTTAGTGGCCCACCTGGTCCCAAAGCAGCAGGAGCCCAGCTCTTGGCGTGGGAAGCTGAATGGTCACCAGGAACTTGCGAAGGCCTGCATCATTCTCACTCCCTGGCACCACCTGTTTCTTGCTCCATTCTCATCTCTGCAGAGCCTACCCAGAGCTCTGATTTGTCAGGAAAAAAAGGAATTCTAACTAGGAAGGAGAGGGTAATGTCTTCCCCTTGGCCTCTCTGCCTGTGGCACAGCCTATCCCCTGAGGGCATTCCCCTGCTCCGCTCTCCTTGGGGTCTAGGGCCTGGTGAAACGGCACTCCCTTCTGAACTCGGAGGTGAGGACAGAGCCTGAGTATTCACTGTGGTGTGCACCCCACTTGCCCCGCAACCTTTAGAGCCCCTGGGGCCATGGGAGGGTGGGCGCCAGGATAGATGCCCCCACCCCCAGCAGAGCTGAGCATTTGAGAAACTTGCAAATTGTCTTTGCTTCTCTAGCTCCCCTTTCTAGCTTTCATTTTCTCAGGTCCTGCTCCGCAGCAAGAGAAAATAAGATGAAAAGGCCAAGAGGTTTGCCTCCTGCCCACTGGTAGTTCCTCTCCCCACAGTGTTTGTGTATCAAGTGACAAAGCTGTTTTTCCTGGTGACCCTGATTATATCCAGTATCTTATAGACTATATGCATAGGCCTGCTTGGTCTCCTCTGTCCTGGGCTTTTGTTTTGCTTTTTAGTTTTGCTTTTAGTTTTTCTGTCCCTTTTCTTTAATGCACCAACTAGACACACAAAGCAGTTGAATTTTTATATATATATCTGTATATTGCACAATTATAAACTCATTTTGCTTGTGGCTCCACACACAAAAAAAGACCTGTTAAAATTATACCTGTTGCTTAATTACAATATTTCTGATAACCGTAGCATAGGACAAGGGAAAATAAAAACAAAAACAAACAAAAAAAACGACAAATCTGTCTGCTGGTCACTTCTTCTGTCCAAGCAGATTCGTGGTCTTTCCTCGCTTCTTTCAAGGGCTTCCCTGTGCCAAGCTAAGGAGGCTCCAGGCAGCACCCGGGTTTCGCACTGTTTCTCCAGTGCTTGTGAGAGAGGTCCCAGGACGCTGGTGCAGAACAGTTCACTTCAACGGGTACGTGCGCGAGCGCTCCCTTGCCCTGGCAAAGTCTGGAATGTAGTTGGCACCTCCTGGTCCCCTTCCACCTCTGGGTGGGGCAGCTGGAATCCATGGGGGTGGCCTGATTTCCCCACCCCTTCCAGTGACCCGGTCAGAGTGGTCATGCGTGGAGAGTCAGCTCAGCAGGCCTCTCCACCGGTAGGGCTCCTGCTTTGCTGAGTCCAGGGGCTGGAGGAAAGCTGGGGAGTCTGTCATGTCTCTGTATGAGTGGCACCAGGTACAATGCCAGGAACCCCAGAACCACATGCGAGAGTCCAGTCCCCTCTAGGAGGTAGCGAAGACTCCAGAAATGTCCCTTTCTCTTCTCCCATATCCTGTGAGTAATTGCATTTGCTTTTGTAATTCTTAATGAGCAATATCTGCTAGAGAGTTTAGCTGTAACAATTCTTTTTGATCGTTTTTTAAAGTAATTAAAAACACCAAAAAAAAAAAATCCAGAAACTTGTTCTTCCAAAGCAGAGAGCATTATAATCACCAGGGCCAAAAGCTTCCCTTCCTATATCAATACTTCTGAGGCCTGAATCCAAAAGAGAAACACTCACAGGCCCTTTGGGTGGCTGGGCTACCTTTGGGCCCCTTGGAGGACCTGATCTGGGGCCCACTACAGCCTGCATTCAGTATTAGCAGTGGGTCATGATGTCCTTGCCCGTCCAGCTTGGGATGGGACCAAGGAGGAGAGGAGGCCATTGCCACTGATGCTTGGCCAATAACAGGTGGGTGTCTGCATGTGTCCACCTGCATGCTTTCTGGCAGAAATGTGAAATCAGCACCTGAGTTAGGCTCACTCAGTGACCTCTCGCCCCACTGGGCTGGAGCAAGGCCCACCCAGTTCAGTGTTTCTGGGGAGCTGGACAGTGGAGTTCAAAAGGCTTGCAGAACTTGAAGCCTGCTCCTTCCTTTGCTACCAAGGCCTCCTTTTCCGTTTGATTTGTCACTGCTTCAATCAATAACAGCCGCTCCAGAGTCAGTAGTTGATGAATATATGACCAAATATCACCAGGACTGTTACTCAATGTGTGCCGAGCCCTTTCCTCGTGCTGGGCTCCTGTGTACCCGGACACTGTAATGTGTGCTGTGTTAGCTCTCCCCACCTCTCCCTCTCACCCTCCCCTCGTTTTTCTGGGGGTTTTCTGTTTGGGTTTGGTTTGGTTTTTATTTCCCCTTTTGTGTTCCAAACATGAGGTTCTCTCTACTGGTCCTCTTAACTGTGGTGTTGAGGCTTATATTTGTGTAATTGGTGGGTGAAAGGAACTTTGCTAAGTAAATCTCTTCTGTGTTTGAACTGAAGTTTGTATTGTAACCATGTTTAAAGTAATTGTTCCAGAGACAAATGCTTCTAGACACCTTTTCTTTACAAACAAAAGAATTTGGAGGGAGGGGATGGTGACTGAGATGAGAGGGGCTGTCCTATTTCCCCGGGAGGGGAGACCCAAAGAGATGACCCCTTCTCAGATCAGCCAGAAGCTACCCAAGAAGTTAAACCTAAGCCAACAGACCGAATAGCTGATGTGTTGCCATTTTCAAAGTCAGAGCAAAACCAGATCTTGTTCCACCCAGTGGATTCTTTTACCTTTCCCCCCTGAGATTATTAGCATTGTTATTTTTAAGGACAGACGAAGTTTATGTTCTTGAGAGGGGAGCCAGGAGGGGTTTGAGCAGGGCCAACCTGGGGTGGGTCTGAACTGAGTGGCTCCAAAGGAAAGACCGGCATCTCCGTGGAGATCTCCACTGTGGCCACGGGTCAGGTATATATTGACAGGGCAGATTGGCCACTCTTCACCTGATGCAGCTCTTTCTAGACAGGCCAGGCAGTGGGCATTACGGTTTAGGACACCTCCATCATATCCCACCCCTTACCTCAGTGCACGACACTAACGTGACCTCTCAGTTCCTGCCATCCCAGGCGATAAGGTGATGGTGGGGTGGGAGGGTGCACTCTCTTTGCTGCAATCCGATTCTCAGAAAAATGGATGTGAGAAACCCCCTTCCCTTTCCATGGCAAAACCAGATCCTTCTCACAGAAGCCGTTACCCCACCAGACATTGTTTTGGGTTCACAGAACAGGGACAAATGTGTGCTCCCTTAGCGCCTGGCAGCCCTTCCTCTGAAAGGCGAGGACAGTGCTGATTGTAGTGATCGTTTGCACATGGTGTTTAGTAGCGGGAAGAACCAGGAAGGGTGGCTGCCCCCTCCAGAGTTGCAGTGACACAGGCCAGCCACCCTGTGCTGAGGGAAGCCCTGCTGAGGGTGGGAGAAGGGGAGCCGCCCAGATCAGACTTGGCTGGAGATGTCTTGAAAAGCCCTCTATTGCATTCACCTTCAGTTTTTGTGTTTTGGGACAATTACTTTAGGAAATAAGTAGGTCGTTTTAAAAACAAAAAAAAATATTGATTGCTTTTTTGTAGTGTTCAAAAAAAAGGTTCTTTGTGTATAGCCAAATGACTGAAAGCACTGATATATTTAAAAACAAAAGGCAATTTATTAAGGAAATTTGTACCATTTCAGTAAACCTGTCTGAATGTACCTGTATACGTTTCAAAAACACCCCCCACTGAATCCCTGTAACCTATTTATTATATAAAGAGTTTGCCTTATAAATTTACATAAAAATGTCCGTTTGTGTCTTTTGTTGTAAAACCAAGTGATTTTTTCATAAGGTTCTTTTACTATTTGAAAAGATGGGCAGCACGCAGTTTTATTTTATTTTTGTAAGTTTTTTAATACGTGTGAAAGCAAAGACTACTCAGCATGCCTTTCTAAGTGACGCGTTTGCACCTTTTGTTGGGAAGTACTGTATCCTTTGCTGTTAGCATTCTCGATAAACCTCTCTGTGAAAGTGACTCAAGGTCTGGGCTTTCATTATCTGACAGCTCACAGGACAGCATGGTGGTGTGTTTCCTGATTCAGTCTGGCTGTCCCTGAACACAGGAGAACCAGCCACTTTCAGGACTGCCGTGAGAGGAAAGGGCACCCTCTCTGTACACTGCATCCCCTTGGGTGCCCCAAGGCCACACTTTCCAGGCACACCGCTTCTGCGTGTGTGAGGGAGCTCTGGCAGGCTAGGAAGGGCCTGGCACAAAGCAGCCCACTGTGCCCTACGGCCAGAGGCAGGTGGGCTTCAGGCCTTCTGCACAACGGCACAACTTCCCTGTTCCTGAGGGCCGTGGTAGGGGTACCTTTACCATCTAGATACACAGTGGCAGTTGTGCAAAGATGCCCCACCCTGTAGCTCTGGCTCCGTTTGTATGGAGCAGCAGGAGCATCTGAGCACCTGTGACCCCTCCCATGGCCTCTACTGAACTGGATCCCTGCCCAAAGGGGGAGCTGTCATCACTCCAGTTTGCTGGTGCCACACCCTGCCTGTTCTTGGCTTCCACGGAAGGCTATGGGCTCTCAGGAGCTACTTGCCCTGCCACAGCCATCCTCACCAGACTGTTGCTGGGCTGGAGGGGACGACAACTGCTCAGTGTCCCGCTTTGTATGCAGATGTGGACATACCTGTTAGATGGTGCACTTGAAAGTCCTAGACTTGAACGTTAAAACAAAGGGTTTAAATTCAACCTGTGTGTACTGAGCATCTCTTGTGTGCCAGGCCTGTCTGGAGTGCTGCAGTCTAGCGGTGAGCAAGTAGGACCAAGTGCCTGTTCCTTAGAGCTAGATGTGTGCGTGCATAATTTCCCATACTCGGGGTGTGGTTGGCTGCCTCTTGGGGAGTGGTTGCGGCTTCTGGGAAGAGGTTCCAACGGAGGCCCATATTTGGGCAGACCCTGTTTATAGAAACAGCCCTAAGTCCCTGGGAGGACAGTCTTGGGGGAGGAGCCCTGTGGGGTCAGGACAGAAAGGACAAGGGGGGTGGTAAGAGAAGGAAGGAGACCTGTTGCCTTGGACTTGCAAGTGTGCATCTAGCTGGAGAAACAAAAGAGGATAGGCACCTGGTGCTGTTTGTGGGCTCTTCCCCCACCTAGTAGAGGAGGCGCGAGAAGGATGCATCAGAGATGCCAGGGCATCAGGGGCAGCAGGCAGCTCTGCCAGAGGGGCCTAGGCAGCCTTTACTCTAGCTTCCACCTGGGGAGCTGTTTGAGCTCAACCTTGTTGCATGAGGACCAGAAAAGTGCAAGCTCATGGATGCTGAAGCCCTGGCTCATTCTCAGAACCCTAAGGAGTTCGGCATGGTTTAAGGCTGCTGACTTGTGCAGAGAACTACACATGAGGTGGGAGGGCAGGGGCCACATTGTGACAGTGGTAAAGACTGCATTGAAGAGCTGGGACCCATCAGAGGGCTCCAGAAAGCACAGGATCTTAAGCAAGAAAGCTATGTGGCTTGACCTGTCCCTGAGGAAGAGTACTTGAGCAGAGATGGGGCAGAGAAGCAGTCAGGAAGCCCGTGCACTCATCCAGGTAAGAGGTAGTGGTGAGGGCAGTGGGCTGGTGGGGAGGAGGTGGACTACAGAGGTGTTCAGGGAGACAACAGGAAAACAGGCTGCTGATTCGGGGTAGAAGGACGGAGGCTGCGGGGCATTGTGGGGATGGGCATGAGAGACAAATGGAACCAAGATGTCGAACAGGCTGGGCACTGAGCTTGGTGCCTGTCTACGACTTCAGAAAAAGAGGGTAAGAAGCCATGCCCACAGGGGGGGAGTGCAAACTGAAACAAAAGCCTGAAGAGGGAGGTGGGACAGCAGGAGCCAAAATCCTGTTTTTAAGAGAGAAACGCAGTTCATGTGCTAGTGAGAAGGATCTAGCAAAGAAGGAAAAGGAGAAGATACTGCTTAGAGGTAATAGTTGCTGGTGCAGTATCTAGAAGGAGTGAAAAAGATGGGATCCAGAGCACAGAAAGTGGGCGGAAAGGCTCTGAACTGGAGGAGCAGGCTGCTGTACAAGTTCCTAGACCTTTCTCCCTGCGCCCAGCCACACAGACAGGCTGACGGGCATCAGCCAGGGCCTTTGTGTAGGTAATCCACATCTGACCCTGTCCTGCCCGCATCTCTGCAGACTCTTCCACTGCCTCCCAAATAAAGCCAAAACATCTCAAGGGGACCTCCCTGTGATTGCCACAAGACCCAACTTCAGCCCTTTCTGGAACGCCCCATGCCTTCACCATTGCCTGCTCCCTCGGTGCTGGGAACCGCTTTCCTCTGTCCCTCATACTCCCAGGCGGATGGCCCCTCCCCCAGAAGCCGGCCCTGCCTGCCTGCTTTCACGGTAAAGGACTGCATGCGGCGCCCCCGTGTGGTCGAGAGCCGCAGCGGCAGTGGCCGCGGCAGGCAAGATGGTGGAGTTCTGGGCACCGCCCCTTCCGCCCGAGCGGGCGTCGCACGAGGCTGGCTTAAAGGGGAAGTGAGTCAGTGTCCGTGGACCCGGCCGGCCGAGGCCCCAAGAGGCCCCGGCCCGGTGGCGCCTTCGGCGGCCATGGCTGGGGGCCTGGGCCCGGGGGACCCCGCAGCCCCCGGCGCCCAACACTTCTTGTACGAGGTGCCACCCTGGGTCATGTGCCGCTTCTACAAAGTGATGGACGCCCTGGAGCCCAGCGACTGGTGCCAGTTCGGTAGGTGGTGGCGAGCCTGGCTGGGGAGGGGCCGATAGTGGGCGGCCCGGGTGCTCAGGCCGGACGCCCCCTGCCCCACAGCTGCCCTTATTGTGCGTGACCAGACCGAGTTGCGGCTATGTGAACGCTCCGGGCAGCGCACTGCCAGCGTCCTGTGGCCCTGGATCAACAGAAATGCCCGAGTGGCTGACCTCGTGCACATCCTCACGCACCTGCAGCTGCTCCGCGCGAGGGACATCATCTTGGCCTGTGAGCACACAGCCCTGGGACCTGGGACACCCCCCCCAACCAGCAGGAGGCCTCCCACAGGGCTCCTCCCCCTGCCAGGGCCTAAACATCCTTTCCTTCCTTAACGTCCCAGGGCAACCTACCGTCCCCCTCCCATCCTCCAGCACCACCAATCCGAGAACCAGCAGCATCACCGAACTCCCTGAGGCCAAGGCCCCCAGCCCCCGGAAGTCGCTGTCACCAGCTTCCACCCTCCTCTCCCCAGGTAAGAGGGCTCTGGTGTTAGGCTTGATGGACCCGAGGAAAAGGCCACTTTGCCCATGGCCATGGCTGTAGTCCCTGCCTCTGGTCTCTGCCTGACTCTCACTGGTGTCTTTATGAAGGTGTTCCAGGCTCCCAGACCCATTCTGGGCCTGAGTACAGTCCTGTCCCAAGCCCTGCTGCCCTACAGCCACCACCACCATCTCTAGCCTTTCCTTCTACCAAGGTAGGTGGGTCCTGCCCCTGGGAAAGGTTCCAGACAAGAAATAAGAAACCAAACCCAGGGAGCCCCAGCCCACCCAGCTAGGCCAGCTGGGAGGCAGCTGGGGTGGGGGGAGCTTGTGGCCAGGGCCAAGGGGAGGAGACAGGACCTCACCTGGTTGGGATCTCTTTCCACAGCAGAGCCCAGAGAATCCAGTGTCCTTTCTGCAAGGGACCCACCCCTCTCCATTCTGCTGGCCCCTCCATGAGATTTCCCAGGGCACCCACAACTTCTCAGAGGAGTTGAAGATCGGGGAGGGCGGCTTTGGATGTGTGTACCGGGCTGTACTGAGGAACACGGTGTATGCTGTGAAGAAGCTGAAGGAGGTGAGTGTAGTAGCGTCCTGATGGGGGTCCTGGAAGGCCGACAGCAGACCATCACTTTTCTGGTCTTCTGCCTGCTTCCCACACAGCTCCTTCAGCTCTCTGATGCTCAGCCCAAGGCCCCCAGCCTCTTGGTTGTTCTGGGTCCAGGAGTGATGGCATTGGGGGTGGCCATCAAGCCTTGGCTGCAAGAGCCTCACACTGCCCCCCTCCCCATTTTCCCTGGTGGCCACAGGAGGCAGACCTGGAGTGGACCACTGTGAAGCAGAGCTTCCTGACCGAAGTGGAGCAGCTGTCACGGTGAGCCTTGGGCATCCCTCCATGACCTCACAGCACGGGACCTAGCTCCCTCAGAACGAAGCCTGCCAGGCCCAGCCTAGCTGAGGGGCCAGCAGGGACCGCTCACCCCTGCAACAGGAAGATGGAAAGTGCAGTGGAGGCTGGGGGCGGAGCACTTAGGCCCCACTTTCTCAAGCAGGTTTCGTCACCCAAACATCGTGGACTTTGCTGGCTACTGTGCTCAGAGTGGCTACTACTGCCTTGTGTATGGCTTCCTGCCCAACGGCTCCCTGGAAGACCGCCTCCACTTCCAGGTAGTCTTACCTGGCCTGCCACGCTTCTCCAGACCTGCAGGGCCTGGGTGGAGTGGGGCAGGAGCCTGGCTTTCAGCCTCCATGAGTGGATCCCACCAGCAGGCAGGGCCTGGGCTCAGGGTTCAGCCCAAGGTGGAACACCATTTTCCACGGCCTTTCCCTAGCTGTTCCTGCATGCCTGGGAGCCTGGGTCATGGTGCCTCCAAAAAGGGGCTTATTGACTCACAGTAACCTGGCTCAGGTTTCTCCCCTTTGCAAGCAGAGTAGCCGAAGGGTCTTGTCAGTATCGCTCTTGAGGAAAGGTGGCAGTAACAGCAGGCTGCGCTATCTGGACCCACAGTTGGGCACCATCTAGTGAGGCGCCCAAAGATACAAGGGTGAACTGCACACCGTGTTGGGAGAAGTGGGGGGAAAGTCTCCAGTGGTGTCCTGATCACCCTGGGGCAAACGAATAAACTTAAGGAACTGAGGACCACCAAGTTGTATGATAAGTCGAAAAACCATGTTCCTAGCCATTTTCCCAGCATGCTTTGTAAAACAGTGGTAATCGTTTAGTCTCTATTATCTTGTGAAGTAGCTCATGGAGCTTTTGCTCCTCGTTTTCCAGAAGGGGAAACTAAGGCCTAGAGAGTGAAGTTCTTGCCCAGATCTCATGGTGACAGGAGGAGGTAGGGTTGGAGTCAAGGAACAGTGACCCCCAGCCTCCCCTGTGCCCTTTTGCTCCCTCTGCTCCTCTAGACCCAGGCCTGTTCTCCTCTCTCCTGGCCTCAACGCCTGGACATCCTTTTGGGCACAGCCCGGGCGATTCAGTTTTTACATCAGGACAGCCCCAGCCTCATCCATGGAGATGTCAAGAGGTAAAGACAGGACACAGCCTGGCCTCTGGGTCCCCTGAGAGCTGCAGAAGTAGATTCTATGGCAAGACAACGATGCTCCCAAACCTTCTATCAGCAGGGGGTCTGGTCCAGATGAACCCCACCCTGAGTGCCCCTCATGGGAACAGGCCTGCCCTCTCCTGCTCAAGGCGGAGGCTGGGGACAGGGTGTACCCCTAAGGCCCGGGCCACGCGAGCCCAGGGGTCACTGAGTACCTAGCATGGGACATATGTGGAGGCAGAGGCCAAGAACAGGCCCCACTGATATGTAGGGGTGGAACTGTGCGTGGGTGCGCTGGGCACTGCTTGCAGCCTCTTGGGTGGCTGGACTGTTCTAACCATACCAACCACTTTCTGTGGGCAGGGTGCAGTTTGGTGGCTCCAAGTCCAATTACATCAGGGCAAGGCAGCGTGGGAGGGGGCAGAGCGAGCTGGGGCCAGGACTAGGCTGACATCCTTACCTTCTCCCCTAAGTTCCAACGTCCTTCTGGATGATAGACTGATGCCTAAACTAGGAGACTTTGGCCTGGCCCGTCTCAGCCGTTTTGCAGCGGCCAACCCTGGTCAGAGCAGCACCGTGGCCCGGACACGGACGGTGCGCGGCACCCTAGCCTACCTGCCCGAAGAGTATATCAAGACCGGGAGGCTAGCTGTGGACACGGATACCTTCAGCTTTGGCGTGGTGAGCCACGGCCCCCTCTGCTGGCTGGAGGGGTGGGGAGCTGTGGCCAGGCCAGAACAGGAGGGCCTGGAGAATTCCATGTGGAGCCAAAGGCCGACCTCTGGCAGGAAGCTAACAGAGTTGCAGCAACAGGCTCCTCCCTCCCTGGGATAGGCTCCGTTCTTGGCCTGCACCCTATTCAATATATGTCGTTTTGTATTCTTACTCTTTAAGTCGGTGCTTCAAACTGCCAGACTTCTGCCCCATGACATCTGGCTCTGTCCCTGCAGGGAGCCGATCCCGATCTGCCTGTCCAAGGGCCAGGCCACTCCGTCTACCCCACAAGCCACCTCTGCTTGCTGCCCTCCCCACCAAAGTTTGGGACAGTGCTATCCCAGAAACTACTGCTATGTTCTCCATCTTGTTCTCTCTCCAGGTAATTCTGGAGACCCTGACTGGCCAGAGGGCTGTGAGGACGCATGGTGACAAGACCAAGTATCTGGTGAGTCTCCTGAGGCAGGGCAGGGAGGGAGGAGGGTCAGGGAGATACTGCTTCTGGCAACCAACAGGTGCAGCCCTGGAGGGTGGGATGGTCTGGAAGCCAGCACCCCACAGAAGCAAGCCTTTGCTGCTGCTGACTCATCTTTGAAAGTGGGCAGGGCCCCAAACAGCTTCCTTTACCTTGCCGAGGAGAAACCTGTCTTTTTTCTGTAGATACAGCGGGCCTTTCCAGACCCCACTTGGGCTGGGAGGAGGGAAGGGGTGTCCCAGCAGGGTAGCCCCGGTGCTCTGGGACCAGAAGCTACAGTGAAAAACAGACATGGGAGCCTGCAAGAGGCTGTGGTGGAGAATTGGGCAGACTCTCAGAAGCCTTCTTCTGGTCCCCACCGGGCACACTGCAGATGAACACTCCCCGTCGTGGAGGCAGGTCTGAGCTGCCCCCAGCCCTGGATCCATGCTTCCTGTCTGCCTCCCCAGGGACTGGGGTGGGGCCAGGAGAAAAGAGCCCTGGGTTCTAGTCCCAGCTCCACGGCGGTGGTCTTGGAGCAAATCCTTGAATTTGCTCCTCCCATTTTACCAACTGGTGTACCTGCAGCCACTTTGGCTCCTGGCTTGGGGTCGATTCTGTCCATTACTGGGTCTGGGCCACAAACCAGGGAAGCCAGACAGGAAACTGCCTTCCTTCACCTTGTACACCCATCGGCATATCCAGCTGGGGCTGCTGTCCATCACCGCTCCGGACTCCTCAGGGGGTTCTTCTTTGCTTGTCTTTGCATCCTTCCTAGTTGTTCTCTGTGCTGCGGCCACACTGATCTTTCAACAATGTCAGAAGATCGAGGAAACCTCTTTGCTTTCCCACTATGCTTGGTGTGAAGGACCGACACCTGAATGTAACCTCAGTTCCCTGTGTCTGGCCACTGCCAGCCTTCTGTCTGTCCTCTGGGCTCCCTGCTGCTTGTCCTAGGGCCTGCAAAGCCACGCCCCACTCAGGAGCTTCCTCCTGGTCCTTCTCATCTCGGAGCTCAAGGAGGCCTTCAGTCCCGTTTCCGACCTGGGGCTCTCTCCACGGTACACTCCCCTTCTTGGTCCCACCCTCTCTGGTTAAATCATGCTTTCAGATCCCGGCTCAGGTACCGCTTGCTCATGGGTCACTACCCATTTCCCATTGCTTTTATAGGCTTGCTGGTGTTTCTCCCGTCTAGGAAGCCCACTCTCTGAAGGTGGGCGCTGACTGTTCTGTTTGTCACTGTATGCCCGGGGCAGTGCTGGGCACACAGTGGGTGCTTCATCAGCCCAAAGGAAAACTACAGGAGCCAGTGACCAAGGGCCTGGGAAATTCGGCCGAAGGCACAGCCTCCCTAGTGGCCACCGTGGTCACAGTTATCTGTCCTACAGAAAGACCTGGTTGAAGAGGAAGCCGAGGAGGCCGGGGTGTCCCTGAAAAGCACCCAGACCACGCTCCAAGAGGGTCTGGCTGCAGATGCCTGGGCTGCCCCAGTTGCCACCCAGATCTACAGGAAGCACCTGGACCCCAGGCCAGGGCCGTGCCCACCTGAGCTAGGCCTGGCCCTGGCCCAGCTGGCTTGCTGCTGCCTGCAGCGTCGGGCTAAGAGGAGGCCCCCCATGACCCAGGTATCAGGGTGGGCAGGGAAGGACAGCCCTTGAGACGCGTACTGCCCATGGGGGCAGTGGCCTACTGGAAACCCTGCATTTCTGGCGCTTCCCCGTCGTGAGCCAAACACACACAGCACCTGCCAGACCTTTTCTGGAGACAGAGTCTTTGTACACTTCTGACTTAACCGTTGGTTCTTCCTGCAGTGGTGAGACCCCCACTGAACCCCGCCTGGTACATAGAGAGTCAAAGGGCTTTTATCGCGCCCCCTTCTGGATGTACCACACCACTGCATCTGCCTTTTTCTGTCCCCTCCCTAGCCCCTACCTCTTGGCCTCTGACAGTCGAGAATAGAGAATCCCCGTTTGAGGGCGGCAGGGCACAGAGATTCACTTTCTAGAAGACAGAGAAGCTATTGTCAGTCCTCAGCTTTGGGTGGCTGTATCTCAGTGCTCCTTGTGGGAGGGATAAAGGGGCAAGGGACAGAACTTTGCCAGCTGCAGCATGTACCAGCTTAAGGGTCCTCAGGGGTCAAGAGCAGCTGTGTGGGGCCTGAGATGGCAGCTCAAGCCCCAAGGTTACGACTGGTCTTCATGGCCAAGCCCGGCCTGCCCAGGGGTGGAGGAGAGCCCCAACCAGGCCACTCCCTCTGAGAGCCCCTTTCTCCTCACAGGTGTACGAGAGGCTGGAGAAGCTTCAGACAGCAATGGCAGGGCCATCCCTGGAGCTAGAAGCTGCTAGCCGCAGCCCCCCTTCCCCACAGGAGAACTCCTACATGTCCACCACCAGCAGTGGCAGCCCCTGGCAGCCCCTGGCAGTACCCACAGGAGCCCCGGCCCAGGCTCCAGAGCGGCTCCAGAAAGGCCCCAACCAGCCTGTGGAGAGTGACGAGAGTGTGTCTGATCTGTCTGCTGCCCTGCATTCCTGGCACCTGACCGCAAGCTGCCCTGCAGGCCCCGCCCTGCTAGATAGCCCTGGACAAGGGGCCGCCACGTGGACCCCAGCACCCCTTGGGCAGGCCAGCTGTACTCAAGGGGGTCCCGCCCAAGAATTGACATGCAGGAGCAGCCCAGAGCCCCGGTCCACAGCTGTAGAAGGTAGCTGGGGATAGGTGCCCAGGAGAGGGACCAGGGACCTCCTTTGGCAGCAGTCCCCATACTTCTCACCCCCGGCCCTCCGGGATGAGAGAACAAGGCCTGCTGTTAGGCTTGCTCTGTCCCTAGCAAGCTCCAGGCCTCTGCCTTAGGGCAGGTGGCTGGCCGTAGAAGGGGGTGCAGAGGATACCTTGGTGCTGTCTCATCTCCCCAGAGTGTGCCCCCCAGGTGGGTCAGAAAATGCTAGGAGCTCACTTCCCGAAAGCTGGGAACAAGGAAGGCTCTCTCTATTCAGGACCAGGTTCCTGGCCTACGTGGGAGCTTGCTCTGTGACACAGCCCTTTCTAGGCCTTGCCCTCAGGACCCTGAGGACATCTGTCCGGAAGGAACGGGACACTAGGCTGGGGTGGGGCAGGGAGTGGGGCCAGAAGACTCCTGAGACCGGAGGTGTCGAGCGAGGAGTTGCTAGGCATAATGGCCCCTGAAGCTAAGAGGATGCTCTCTCCACCCCAGGGTCACTCCTGGGTAGCTCTGCGTCATCACGGCCACCACAGATTGTCATCAATCCGGCCCGACGGAAGATGGTGCAGAAGCTGGCCTTGTACGAGGACGGGGTCCTGGACAGCCTGCAGCTGCTGTCATCAAGCTCCCTCCCAGGTACCCTTGTACTCTGCGGCTGGACAGTCAGCCTCCAGGGCTGCTCAAGCACGCCTCCTTGTGCCAGCCCCAACCAGCACAGTGGTTTTTTTCTTTGTTGGTTTTGGTTTGGGGGGGGGTTGGTTTTTTTTGCCCTGGCTAGTGTGGCTCAGTGGACTGAGTGCTGGCCTGAGAACCGAAAGGGCGCTGGTTTGATCCCCAGTCAGGGCACATGCCTGCGTTGTGGGCCAGGTCCCAGTTGGCGTGTGAGAGGAAACTAATTGATGTACCTCTCACACATCAGTGTTTCTCTTTCTCCCTGCCTTACCCTCTCTCGGAAAAAAAAATTTAAAAAAATATTTTTATTGAAACATCAGTGTGCAAGACATAGACCAATCAGTTGCCTCTGCACACCCCCAACCTGGGACCTTTTGGTTTGCAAGCTGGCGCTTAATCCACTGAGCTACCCCAGCCAGAGCGAGCGTTGTTTCTGACCATGCACTGACGAGGCCCCATGCTCGACAAGGGTGTGGGAAAGCACCGAGGCAGGGCGCCCGCCCACCCCCTCTAGGAATGGCAGGAAGCTGCCCCCGTGCCTCCCTCGGGAAGTCGTTTATTCTGGGCAAAGCCCTATGCCGGCTCTCTCACCTTCTCCTGAAACAGTACCTTCCCTTAATCTTAGGGTGCCAGCACCCCTGCCATGCTTCTGGCAAGCATTTTCCATTCAATATGCTATTCGAAGAAGCTCTGCTTAGGAATGGAAACCCCTCATTCCAGAGAACACCCTGGGAGCTGCGGTGGAATCATGGCCCGGCCCTTGAACCACCCCTCCAGCAACGGAGGGGCCTCCCCGATTTACTGACTGGCATTTCCTCCTCCTCCTGCAGGTTTGGGCCTGGAACACCAACACAGGCAGGGCCCGGAAGAGAGTGATGAGTTTCAGAGCTGATCTGTTCACCTGGGCAGATCCCCCAAACCCGGAAGTCAAAGTTCTCATGGTCAGAAGTTCTCATAGCACACAAACCCTCAGGGGCCCGCGGGCAGTAGGGGCGGGGGCCCCAGCCTCACAGGGGAGAGTAGCCCCTGTGCTGTAGGGGAATGGGCACAGGCCGGGCTCAGTGCCACCCGGGGCTGCTGCTGGAAGCTGTCAGTAGGACAGGACATCTCACAGGCCTGCCTTCGGTCCAGCATTCGGGGGGAGAGGAATGCGAGCCTGAAGGCTGCCAGCTGCACAGGCCAGAGAGGAGAGGTGAGGAGGACCATGGGTACAGTGGGATAAAGTGGGGAGCCGCTACCCCAGAGTTGGGCAAGGCATTTGCAGCCCAGGCCTACCGCAGCCACCCTTAACCTTTCTTTCTGAATTTTGCTGAAGCCCTAGGGGAAAGCGGCCATTCTGTAGAATAGAGCAGAGGAGGCCTGGGGTCCTCCCAGCTGCTTGAAACGCGCGAAAGAGAGTTGTGGCCGTCCTGTGGCTCAGTCCACTAGAAGTGAGAGTTCTGAGATACCCCAGAGAGTTCCAGCAGTGCCCCCCATCAGGCCAGTGTCAGTGGGCCTCATTGGGCAGCTGGGAGCTAGCCTAACATGATTGCCTGCTAGCTGGGCCACCCCTGGGTGCTACAGACAGGTACCAAACCCGGCCGGGCTCGGCATCAGGCCCGGGCACTGACTGTGACAGAAGGGCCCCTTCCCAAGGTTGACGTAGGCCTGAGTCCTGTGTTACCCAGACAGCGAGAAGCCCCAGGGCAAGAAGTCGGGAGCAAGGCAGAGAAAAAGGAAAAGGAAATTGAGACACTTTTAGAAACGGGAGGTTTCACGTAACAGTGTCTTCGAAAGTTAGCCCAGGGCTACAGCATAGGCTTACAGTGACTTGTGTCCACAATCGTGAATCACACTACGTGCCTCACAAAGAAAGGCATTGGTGAAGTCCAAGTTGTACCGGAGTAATAAAAGCTTATGTTTCAATCTCTGATTGTACTTGTGGAGTTTGTTCCACTGAAAACGTCAAGCTTTTCCAATGCTTTTCAACTCAGGGTTCTTGACTGTCCAACCCAAAACAGACCCCCCTCCCCGGCCCACGCCAAATCCCCTGAGGCTTTTGTTACCTAGGTTCACAACACTACTCAACAGTGCTCCCAGGGCTGTTAAATTTTTCCTATATATCTTACGGGTTCTCATGCTGTTGTAAATGGTATCTTTATGTCATTTTCTAATTAGCCGTTGATAGTCTATAGGAATGCATTTGAGTTTTGTCTGCCGGCTTTCTATTCTGTGACCTTGCTTAAATTCACTTACTAGCTTTAGCAGTTTTTTGTAAATACGTTGGGATAGTGTTTGTATACAAATCACTTCATCTGCCAATAAAGATAATTTTACCGCTTCTTTTCCAACCTGCCTTTTAGTTCTCTTCTTTGCCTTATAGCACTAGCTAGGGCCTCTGGTCAGGTGTTAAACAGAAGTGGTGAAAGGAGACATCCTTGCCTTGTCCCCAATTTTAGGTGCAAAGCGTTATCTTTCACCATTAACTATGATTGTCATATGTGTGTTTTGTCGGTGCGATGAACGACATCAGCTGATTTTCAAATATTAAACCAACTTTTAATTCCCTAGATTTAAAAAAAGCACTTCCTCATAAGCCATGTGCTAATAGCTTGAGAACTTTTGTGTCTATTATTCCTGAAAGATATTGATCTGTAGTTTCCTGGTAATATCTTTTATCTGGTCTTGGTATCAAGGCCTCAAAATAAATTGGGAAGTGTTTCCTTGTCTTATTTTCTTAAAGGGCTTGTGTGTGCTTGATGTTAACTTCTTTAAATGTTTGAAGGATTCGGCAGTGAAACCATCTGTACCTGGAGTTTTCTTTGTGGGGAGTTTTTAACTCCAAATTTCATTTCTTCAATTAGCTATTAGCCCATTCAGATTTTGTTTCTTCATGTGTCAATTTGTGTCTTTCAAGAAATTTGCCTGTTTCATCTAAATTGGCATAAAGTTGCCCTGGCTGGTGTGGCTCAGTGGATTGAGTGCCAGCCTGTGAACCAAAGGGTTGCCGGTTCAATTCCCAGTCAGGGCACATGCCTGGGTTGCTGGCCAGGGCCCCAGTGGGGGGCACACGAGAGGCAACCACACATGGATGTTTCTCTCCCTCTTTTCCCCTCTGCCTAAAAATAAATAAAATCTTTTTTAAAGAAAAAAATTAATTGGCATGAAGTTAGTAATCCCCCCTTACAATCTCTTTACACCTGCAGGTACCATACTGACCTCCCTTCCATTCCCGATATTGGTAATTTATAGCTTTCCATTTCCTTCATTAGCCCAGATAGCTTGTCAGTTTTATCAAACATTTCAAAGTACCAAATTTGGGTTTCGTTGATTGTCTATTTTCTATTTTGTTAATTTCTACTCGTTATCCTTTCCTTTAGTTCACTTATTTTGGAGTAATAAAAACTTATTTCAGATTACATTTGCTCACACCTTTCTCCAACATCTTAAAATGTAGCCTTAAAATAATTGGTTTTAAACTTTTTCTAACAGAAGCATTTACTTAAAGCTAGAAATTCCCTTTGATAACAGCTTTAGTTGAATTCTACTTATTTGGATATGTTCTGTTGTCATCACTCAGTTCGTAATGTTTTCTAATTTCCCCTGTAATTACTTTTTTGTAAAGGTTTTATTTATTTACTTTTAGAGAGAGGGGAATGGAGGGAGAAAGAGAAGGAGAGAAATATCAATTGGTTGCCTCCTGTGCACCCCCCACTGGGGACCTGGCCCTCAACCCGGGCATGTGCCCTGACTGGGAATCAAATCTGTGACCTTTTTGTTTGCAGGACGGTGCCCAACCCACTGACCCACACGGGTCAGGGTGTGTGATTACTTCTTTAAGCAGTAACTTACTTAGAAGTACGTTTAATTCCCAAATATTTCGGGATTTTGCAGATACCTCTTTGTTATATGTTTTTAATTCCATTGTGGTCAGAGAATTTACTCTGTATAATTTCATTCTTTTTAAAATTATTAAGACTTGCCCTGGCCGGTGTGGCTCAGTGGATTGAGTGCCAGACTGCAAACCAAACGGTCACTGGTTTGATTCCCAGTCAGGACACATGCCTGGGTTGTGGGCCAGGTCCTCAATTGGGGGTACTTGAGAGACAACCACACATTGATGTTTCTACCCCTACCTTCCCCTCCATTTAGAAATACATAAAATCTTTAAAGAATATAAAATCAGACTTGTTTTGCCCTGGCTGGTGTAGCTCAGTGGATTGAGCGTGGGCCTGCGAACCAAAGGATAGTGGTTCAATTCCCAGTCAGGGCACATGCCTGGGTTGCAGGCCAGTTCCCAGCAGGGGACGCACGAGAGGCAACCATACATTGATGTTTCTCTCATTCTCTCCTTCCCCTCCCCTCTAAAGATAAATAAATAAAGTATTTTTAAAAATTAGACTTGTTTTATGGTTTAGCTTAGTGAATGGTCCATGTATACTTTAAGAGAATATATTCTGCAGTTGGGTGAAATGTTCCTATAAATGTCAGTTAGTCCAGGTGGTTGATAGCGGTATTCAGGTCTTCAGGATCCTTGCCGATTTTCTGTCTACCAGTTCTCCTCCCTGCAAATAGAGAAAAACATCACAGTCTCCAACTGTAATTGTGGAGGTGCCTTCCTCGTTTCAGTGCTGTTTGACTTTGCTGCGTCTGTTTTGCATCGGGTGCGTACACACTCAGGATTGTCATGTGTTCTTGATAAATCGACCCTTTCACTCTCACGACATGCCCCTCTTTATCTCCAGTAATATTTCACCTTTCGATGTCTGCTTTGTCTGCCGTGACTACAGCTATGCCAACTTCTTTATGCTTAATTTGCTTTGCGGTGTAACTCTTTCTGTTCTTTCAACCCATCGGTATCTTTATATTTACAGTGCATTTATAGATAACATATGGTTTGGGCTTACTTTTGTAACCAGTCTGATAATATCTGCCTTTTAATTGGTTTGATTACTCCATTGACATTTAATGGTTCAGCTTAAGTCCACCAGCATCCTATTTGTTTTCTATTTGTCCTATCTGTTCTTTGTTCCTTTTTTCCTTTATTCTTGACTTCTCTTGCATGTTTCTGGTGTTCTATTTTTTCCTCATTATTGGCTTGTTACTTCTAGTAACGGGTTCTGCTGCTCAGTAGCCCTCTTCCCGCACCATGATGGGGAAAATGCCTCCTAGGTCCAAAGGTGGGAATCTGCATTTTCAGTTTCAGTTTCATTTCAGTCAGTTTCCTTCTGATCACAGTCCTGCAGTGCCTGTTGTCCAGGATCTAAAAATAGTGACCTCTAATATTTTGCCTAGTTTTCTAGTTGTTTATCTCCAGAGAGCTATTCTGGCATTGGCTGTTCTCTTATGGCCACTATCAAAAGCTTCCCCTCTTTTCTGAGTAATTGTTCACTCTTAAGGTCACCCCGTTTTTCTCCTGGATGAGCAATTTCTCCCTTGCTCCTGGATTCATTTTTTTCATATATGTCCCCTAGTAGCTTTCACTCTTTTTTTTAAATTTGTTTTTAGAGAGAGGGGAAGAGAAAGAGAAAGAGTGAGAGAAACATCGATGTGTGGTTGCCTCTCATGCGACCCCCTACTAGGGCCCTGGCCTGCAACCCGGGCATAGGCCCTGACTGGGAATTGAACCAGTGACCCTTTGGTTTGCAGGCCCTCACTCAATCCACTGAGCCACACCAGCCAAGGCAGTAGCTTTCATTCTTGAAGAAGTCCTTGGATCCAACTTTTCTGTCCAATCACAACCCCAATTCTCTGTTCTTTATAGCCAAACTTCTCAAAATAATTGCCTATTTTCTCATTCCCTCTTCAACCCTTTCTAATCTGGCACCTACCCCGAACTCCATCAAAGTCCTGTCAAGGACACCCATGATCATGTTGCCCAACCAGTGGCCCTTTTCTTTGTGCTGTAGGCCTCTTGCTGCCCACACCCTTTCTCACCGGGCCCTGTCTCCTCTCTGCAATCTCTACAAGGCAGGAGTCCCTTGGGGCTCACTCTGGGCCCTCTTTGCTACCTCCACTTGCTCCCGTGGTGAGCTCAGCTTTCATTCTCATGGTGCTGAAGACCATTTCTCCAACGACCAGCACCAGATAACATCTCTAACAATAAACTCTCCTCTGAGCTTTTCACCCATACTTCCAAATGCCTACCTCAGACATGTTCGCTTTGGTGTCTCACAGGCGTCATAGCTTAAATGGCAAAACTGAACTTGGGATTCCTGGTTGCCCCAAGCTTCTTGCCCCAGTGTGTGGCAGTACCACCGCCTTCTACCCAGCTGCCTAAGCCAGACCTCAGAAGCCAGGCATTTTTAATAGAATTAGTTAAGGAGCCCTGGCTGGTGTAGCTCAGTGGATTGAGCGTGGGCCTGCGAACCAGACAATCGAGGTTCGATTCCCAGTCAGGGCACATACAGGGTTGCAGGCCAGTTCCCAGCAGGGGATGCACGAAGGCAACCATACATTGATGTTTCTCTCCCTCTCTCCTTCCCTTCCCCTCCCCTCTAAAGGTAAATAAATAAAATCTTTAAAAATAAAAAAAAAGAATTAGTTAAGGAGGGAAGGTACAGCCACTGGTGCAGCCACTGTGGAAAACAGTATGGAATTTCCTCAGGAAACAAAAAATGGAGGTGGCTTTTGAGCCAGCAATTCCACTGCTGGGATTATACCCTAAGAACCCTGAATCACAAATTCAAAACAACCTATGCACCCCAATGTTCATAGCAGCACAATTTACAATAGCCAAGTGCTGGAAGCAACCTAGGCGCCCATCGGTAAATGAGTGGATCAAAAAACTGGTACATTTACACAGTGGAATACTATGCAGCAGAGAGAAAGAGGCAGCTCCTACCCTTTGCAACAGCATGGATGGAACTGGAGAGTATCATGCTAAGTGAAGTCAGGCGGTGAAAGACAAATACCATATGATCTCA